GGGGCTGATTGGCAATAATGGCCTGACCTGTAAACCTGCATGTCTCTGACACTGTCCCCAGTAGCAATGGTATAACATGCTTGTCGGTATACATAAAAGTGTAATTTCCGGAAATTGTAAAATGGTAAAAGTGCTTTCATCTCATACGCTTTATAGAAGATCATGACGGCTTTACGTCACTGAACTCTCTTTTATCTGCCTGGACTGCTAATTTTTATCATTTTTTTATTTGGAGAGAGAGAAAGTGCGGGAGAGATAGACAGAGCGAGGTGGAGAGAGACAGACAGAGAGCGAGAGAAAGACACAGAGAGAGGAGGAGAGAAAGAGAGAGAGAGAGTGGGGGGGGGGGGGGAGAGAGTCCGTAGTTATGGGGGACATTATTTTTCCATTTATTACCCACGTTGTGGGAAAGGTACGCTTACTATTGTGGGGAGTTTGGCATGTCCCCACAATTAATTGGCCTCTTAAATTGCATTGAAATTGCGCGAAATGTCAAGAAAAATAATTATTTCAAATGTCCCCATAACGTTTTTACTACCTCAATAGTGCTCAGGTGTGCATGAATATTTCCCTTCCTTGTAACTGTACCAGGACATTATTTCTAATTTATGTCAGGACATCGCTTTGATGTCCCCGCACCTACATAGATAAACATGTGCCTACAAAGATTGTCTACGAAATTAAAACCTGACGCAAATTTATTCAATATTCAGGAGAGATTAAGTTGGGTTAAGGAACAGTATACACTTACCATTACCATATCTATGACATTACTATAGGAGATGGATGCCCTCAGAATGTCTTTGTGAAACCCATATCCTCACAGTGAAAACTAGACGACAAAGAGACAGCGTTTAAACTGAGGACAGGTTATGTACAGTAATTTCATATAAAACATCACTATTCCGTTTGTTGAATGTGATATGGCGAGAAAGATCATGTGATCAGATACAAAACAAACAGTTCAGAGATTGTAATGGTTGATCGTTTTTCAAAGCATTCGTTTCAAATCACAATGATTAGTTTAAACTTACTGTATTGCTATGAAGAAAAAGGATTGAGCACAAATTACAACAATATTATTAACGACCATTCCTTTAGAACAAAAACAATTGCCTCAAAATAATCATGTACATATCATTTTTAATTCAGAGATTTACTCGAATTTCATGGCTAAATAAATAAATACATTCTGACAAAACACATCTTAACTATACACTATATTACACATTTAACCGCACCAACCGAATCATGTTATCACACAACACAAGCATGCTCGCAAGCCATGAAAATTCGCACACAAATTAAACTAATTGGAAAGAAATAATTATGCGATTTCATAGAGAAACATAAGAACGTAGAAAGTGACGTATCTAAAACCGGCGAGTACTCAGTCACAATGATGATGTGTTGACAAGTTAAATTCAGTCTACATTGGTATTCCTAAGTATATATAGCTCCTAGGTAGAAGTCCTAATGTGTAAACTGAAAAAGTCCAAAATGGACACGACACAGTTCTGATCGGGAATCCGATGTAGCCTAGACAATAGATGACGTAATGACCTCGGGTAGACATGTAGATAGATATGTAACAAAACATACTAGGAGAGTCCGTGTGTCACTCTGAAAACAAATACTCGAGGATATTAATACATTGATGTGTTATTAATCAAAGCAATTATAACAGTTATAGAGACAATTGAACATAAATTAACGATCAAGTAGAAAAGATTAAAAATATGATTTTTTTTTCAGTTATATCAACATAGATTTAGTATTTTAGAATGGAGATTTAGGGAACTCAGAATATTTGTTACAGTAGCATCGACTTCTCTATATTTCTAACGAACTAGTGATGCCGAAATATTGACAAAAACCATTCCTTTTATACATAAAACCGTCCACACAATGTAGTTTTTATATGTACTAACTCTCTCGTTTATATATAGATAGTGAAGAAGAATATTTCGTTTTATTTGGTCGCCAGCCTAGACATTTAAAGATTGCACATTAACATTTTGTGATCTTCGTTCATTTTCATCTGATATATTAATGGGAAATAAATGTATACATATCGCATTTCATCGCAAGATTGATCAGGTTAGAGACCATGCCTCACCCTGACTGCAAACCAAATTAAACATCGTAAATATATCTCTCCAGATAGGATAATCTCTACTCTATATCTGGATAAAAAAAATCTCCGTAACCACCAGAATAATACATCCTCCCCTCAACAGACCCTTCCTCCATCAGGACCCCTTCCCAAACATGCCCCTTTCCTGTATCAGGACACCCTTCAACTCCAGCAGACCCCTACCCCAACACAACTCCTGAAGTTATTGGTAAAGAAAGGACAACCATTAAACTATCTGTCTTGATATTTAATGTCGTTAATTACTTATATTGATTATTCGAATAAATTAGATAACTAATCAGAGGCAAAAAACGGAAACGAATCTGTTGTATTTGCTGCACTGTTGAATTGATAGGAAGTAAGATTACTATTGTATCGAGACAAGTGATGCTATAATGACGAGGACTAAGTGGACAACAGCAGTGATCCCGTTACCAGATATTGAAATTAAAACAGGCAGTTTTATTAATGAAATCTATCCTGTCGATTTCAAACTGGAAGGTCGGTAAATTGTTCCTTTAAAGCGACAAAAAACGGAAACCCAGTTTATATACATGAAAGGCCTACGTTTATCGTTGACACAATCCATTCTGTGATAATGCCGGCTCCTGTCATACCAGCACGTGACAGGCTAATTGCAATAACATGTCGAACAATTTCAAAATATGCAAGACAACCTGATTTATGACGTCACCACAGATTTTTTTTCGCATACAGAAGCTATTTTCTTTGAAATTCTTCCCTTACAGTATGTTTAAGTGATAAATGTTGTCTATCAATTTGTTTCTTTTATTAAATAATGACTAATAATATTATCAGACGTTCCCTCAGGTGTCTTGACCCGGAACTAAAATAGTGAGATTCATGTATGACAAACAATAAAATCTGATGTCGTGATCTGTGGGGAATGTTAAATGAATGGGTTGGCCTTTCCTATGAACATGTGACTAAAATATCAAATGCTCGAGATATTTATATAAAGTTCGAACATGTCCTGATTAACACTCTTAAGAATACTTGTGGTCAGTACTGAGATACAGTATTCAGACACACCGTTGTGAAACCAGGAGGACTTTCAGTTTTGTAACCATTAAAGAACTAGGGAGGGTCTACAGCTCTATAACCATTTTAGAACTGATGAGGGCCTACAGGTTTGTAATCAGTTAGAACCGGGGAAGACCTATAGGTCTGTAACCTGTTTAGAACTAAGGAGGGTCTACAGGTTTGCAATCAGTTAGAACTGAGGAGGGCCTACAGGTTTGCAATCAGTTAGAACTGAGGAGGGCCTATAGGTCTGTAATCAGTTTAGAACTAAGGAGGGTCTACAGGTTTGCAATCAGTTAGAACTGAGGAGGGCCTATAGGTCTGTAATCAGTTATAACTAAGGAGGGCCTACAGGTCTGTAATCAGTTAGAACTAAGGAGGCCTACAGGTCTGTAATCAGTTAGAACTAAGGAGGGCCTACAGGTCTGTAATCAGTTAGAACTGAGGAGGCCGACAGGTGTGTAATCAGTTAGAACTGAGGAGGGCCTACAGGTTTGTAATCAGTTAGAACTGAGGAGGGCCTACAGGTCTGTTATCAGTTAGAACTGAGGAGGGCCTACAGGTCTGTAATCAGTTAGAACTGAGGAGGGCCTACAGGTTTGTAATCAGTTAGAACTGAGGAGGGCCTACAGGTCTGTTATCAGTTAGAACTGAGGAGGGCCTACAGGTCTGTTATCAGTTAGAACTGAGGAGGCCGACAGGTGTGTAATCAGTTAGAACTGAGGAGGGCCTACAGGTTTGTAATCAGTTAGAACTGAGGAGGCCGACAGGTGTGTAATCAGTTAGAACTAAGGAGGCCTACAGGTCTGTAATCAGTTAGAACTGAGGAGGGCCTACAGGTTTGTAATCAGTTAGAACTGAGGAGGGCCTACAGGTTTGTAATCAGTTAGAACTGAGGAGGCCTACAGGTCTGTAATCAGTTTAGAACTGAGGAGGGCCTACAGGTCTGTTATCAGTTAGAACTGAGGAGGGCCTACAGGTCTGTAATCAGTTAGAACTAAGGAGGCCTACAGGTCAGTCATGGTGGGGCTTACGATGACATAAATACAATATTTATAATTTATAATGCCCACGTTGGCCTTATTACATTATACTTAATTGATAACGCACATCAGTATCCGTCATCACATTTTAATACTTTTTACTATGTGTGAATGATTTTAATAAAAAATTGAGCAAATGTTGCACAAAAATGCCAATTTCCTTTTCGAACAGTAGAAATACTCCGATCCCCAATGGGTCATGTGAGACTCCTGGGCCGTGACACAATTCCATTTCAGCACCTTGTATCCATGCAGAGTATTGTATTTTGTCATATCTCGGTATTGAGTAAAATGTAAATCAAAGTGAACCATTTCCATCAACTCTAGGGTTCAGGCTATGTCGGTATGTGTACATATCCTTAAAGCTTATAACGCTAATTCTTACTAACATTGGAATATCTCTAATGGAAATTAAACAAACTATGCTAAAACATAAGTTTCTTACATAAACTAGAACAGATTTTAACTCTCCTCAGGGCGATTATTATACCTGGAGTCATGAAATTCACATTTTTGGTAGAGCACCTTAAAATCCTTCCATCTATGACGAGCATTTGATTCATATCTGGGATTCGAGAAATGCAATTTCCCTTGTGGGATGGGAACAATAATTCATATATTTTCTAAGCCTTTGGTCATAGAAGATCTTTGTAAATATTCAATAAGGCTACTTCAGGGTTCCTTCAGAACTTTTAATTCCAAATTCTAACATTAAATAACATGTGTAGATTTATACTAATTGATCAACACTTTGATTGACAGCGGGACGTTTGAGGATGTGGTGGGTGGTGTTACTCTCTGCCAAAGTGGGCATGGTCTGGAGCTACAGTATGGGGGCACCTTCTACCACCTGCTCCACCATGTTTCCCGTACACAGTGGTAGTCCTGCACAGACCACTCAACCGCCGTACTTCTTCCAGCTCAGCAAGACTACCTTCACACCAGGAGAAACACTCTCAGGTACCACTGCATGAAAATCTACAACATTTACCATATGGAGTGTTTACTGTCACATTTCTGTGTGGGAAATGATTGATACATTTACAACCGATCGATAGAAATAACAATTTTATATAACAAACTTTTCTGTTAAAATGAAAATGCCCATAACAGCGACAATTGCATTCCTGAAACCATGACACGACATTTATCAATTTCCTGTTTTAAATGCACGGGTCAATAAATTCATTTGTAAACAACCGTAAAGATAGAACTATACCCGAAGTATTCAAATTGGGCGATTACTTTCATTTTACTAATTATAATCAGTTTTTTGTAGGTATACGTAACTGTGACCCGCGTACAATTCTCCATATTGGCTTACCTATAACCAGTATGACAATGATAGGCGACCACGCCTTCCCTCTCGGCCTCGCTCGATCAGTCTAATACTAAGCTCATTTATATATTTCCACGCTATACATATTTTAAATGATTTATGTAATTACTGACATTCTCCGATTTTCCAATGTGTGAAATGTTGATATTATCATAATTCAAATTAATTCCGATGACGTCATTTTCCGATGAAAATAGCGAGTCGCGTGCTTTTATTCTAGGCGAACGGACAGAATCGTAGGATTTTACGTGGTTTTGTAGCATTGCTGAATTTACTGTATTTATTATTAGATACAAAACACCAAAGTTACTCCTTAGTCAATAGAAGAGGTGTTCAGGGCCTCTCATCAGTAAATACAAAATATGTCAAAGGAAAGCGTGATTTGAAAATGAATTTTAGCATGAAAACCACATGTGTGCGTATCTGGTTGTAGGGTCCCAAATTTTGTATAAACAAAGTATGTTTTCCCGAGCCACTTGGAGGCAGAGGGGCGGGGCACAATAGGGTAAACAACTAAAGCCATTCTCCAATTTTTCTTCTGTTTGATTGAAAGTGACCAAATTTGGTGTGGAGTTTAAAACATACTGATCTTTTGGGGCAAAAACAAACTGTATAACAATATAATTATAAATGATTTGATGTGAAAATTGAGATATCATGTTGAATGAATAAATCACGACAGGACCTGATAATCGATGAAGTGGTCTTTGACGATCATATTGAAGTGTAAAATTTAATTTTACAGTGAACTTGGTTGGAAATGGAGTGATATTGAGAGGGTACCAGATTCAAGCCCGAGATGGGAATGGTAACGTGGTAGGACAGTTCACGTCAGCCGCCGGGGCCAGGACGATCACCTGTGGTCTGGAGGTGAGTACACACCTGTTACAATAAAATACATCCCAAGGGGCCGTGTAGTTTGTACTATAACTGATATTTATTTCTGCATATTAATAGTGTGAGGTCGTATACCAAAACGATGTATTTGTACCATTTCAGAATAAATTAATGTTATTTGTGACGCAGCGACAACGAAATTGACAAAGATCACTTTTAATTATTACACATAAATACAATTTTTAGGTCAAACGTAACATTGTAACGGTTTCAGTCTACTGTCACTGCCTTTGGAACTAGATTTTACTTCCAATCCTAGTTTTCTGAATTTTGAAAATTGCCAGTAGATTATCAGCGACTTCTAGCCACAGTCCTATGTTACACTGCATATACAATGCCACCATCTTTCAAAACAGTGTCATACATATATACCATGTTTTTCTTCTTTTTGAATCGTGTATTGAGCATTCTAGTCAAGTCCAATGTTACAACCCTGTTTTTCTTTTTTTGAATCGTGCATTGAGCATTCTAGTCAAGTCCTATGTTACAACCCTGTTTTTCTTCTGTTTGAATCGTGCATTGAGCGTTCTAGACAAGTCCTATATTACAACCCTGTTTTTCTTCTTTTTGAATCGTGCATTGAGCATTCTAGTCAAGTCCTATGTTACAACCCTGTTTTTCTTCTTTTTGAATCGTGCATTGAGCATTCTAGACAAGTCCTATGTTACAACCCTGTTTTTCTTCTTTTTGAATCGTGCATTGAGCATTCTAGACAAGTCCTATGTTACAACCCTGTTTTTCTTCTTTTTGAATCGTGCATTGAGCATTCTAGTCAAGTCCTATGTTACAACCCTGTTTTTCTTCTTTTTGAATCGTGCATTGAGCATTCTAGACAAGTCCTATATTACAACCCTGTTTTTCTTCTTTTTGAATCGTGCATTGAGCATTCTAGTCAAGTCCTATGTTACAACCCTGTTTTTCTTTTTTTGAATCGTGCATTGAGCATTCTAGTCAAGTCCTATGTTACAACCCTGTTTTTCTTCTTTTTGAATCGTGCATTGAGCATTCTAGACAAGTCCTATATTACAACCCTGTTTTTCTTCTTTTTGAATCGTGCATTGAGCATTCTAGTCAAGTCCTATGTTACAACCCTGTTTTTCTTCTTTTAGAATCTTGCACTGAGCATTCTAGTCAAGTCCTATGTTACACTGTGTATACAATACCACAAAACAGTGCCATACATGTATACCTTCTTACTTTTGAATTTTGCATTGAGCATCCTTCTTGTAAATCAGTATACATTGTCAGTCATGGTGTCTCGTACTTCATCATGTCTCTCTTGTGTCTCTGGTAATTTAAACACATATTATTGCCTCATCTCTCTTCCTCCGTGTACTATCAGACCTCCGTCTTAGCTTTAACATGAATACTCATTTGAAAGGAAACTTATCATTGATTCATATCATTAACATAATGTGAACTGCAACCAAAGATGTAGTGCAGACTCAAGGATATTTATGAATGTGAAGATTTGATGAAACAGGTTTAAATATGATCAACATGTAACTCTAATGAAAATTGACAAAATCAAAAAATGAATTTTTCACAACAACTTTAAGAGGAAATAAGTATTTTCTGGAAAATTATACAGTGAATAGACAGCTGATGTATGCCATCGGAATGGTTATGGAATATGCCTTAATAAAGCTGAACAGTTTATAATGTAGAGTATATATCTCGTTTAAGGCACACGGATAACATGTGAACATTAAGAATGATAGATTTAGGCTCTTTGAGGAATAAATATTGTCAATGAGTACATCGTGGGCCGCTGTGAAATAATTCTTTATTTCTGTTATGTCGAAGACGGAGTGATACGTGGCACCGTAGCGTATAAATAGATCTTACTTCAACCCATAACAATAACAACCCATAACACTAACAACCCATAACAATAACAACCCTTAACACTAACAACCCATAACAATAACAACCCATAGCAATAACAACCCATAACACGAACAACCCATAACAATAACAACCCTTAACACTAACAACCCATAGCAATAACAACCCATAACAATAACAACCCATAGCAATACCAATGACATGTTTGATACAGTATTTGTTAATTGTTTACTGAACGTTTGTAGAATGGAGCACTGACCCACAGTAACGCCAGAAACAAACAGGGTGTAAGTTTTACTTGGCAAGCACCCACCCCCGCTGTAGGAGGCATCCAGTTCATGTAAGTAATTTTTATGTTACTGGTTTTCTCTCCCTGGCCACATATTATTGATCAATTACTGTCACAGTCAAAATGTGTGTATATCACTCAAACATATATAATTCTCTTCTCTTACACCCTATTTTAGAGGTTAAATTAAGACTTTTTTCTGGTGAGGATCATTTGAGAGGTTAAATTAAAAGAATAAAAAGAAAGAAAGAAAAAAACCCGAAAAAAATGAAACAACAACAAAACACTAAAAAATCACTACTGGATTCAAAATATATGTAACAGGAAACATTCGCTTATTTTTGTCGTGAATGCTGAATATTTTTTATATTTTCAAGGCGATTTTTGTTTCAAATAAATTTCATTTCCATTAAAATGCATTAGAATGATACCAGGATAATTAAAACAAAAGCAAAAACAAAAATGTTAAATTCCAATTTTTAACTTGATTGAAAGCCGCAAATCTCCATAGTAATATATATTTATGTGACAATGATTTGAAATCAAAAATTTGTTTTCGATTTTATGTTTTGAAAAAAAAAGATACAAAAGAAGGGAGGTTGTCGTGTTTATTTATTTGGTTTTTTTTCATCCAAATGTCTTTTTTTTTCTTCTCAAATCTTAAACAGAGTGAAATATTTAGTTTTGGGTCTTCAAGAAAAAATGATCAATCAATTCAGCATTACGTGTTTAAAATACCACAGGAAACGAAAACTCGCTGGAAAGAGAATCACATCAACTACGCCGCTACAAATGTAGTCCATTAGAAAAATCTACAAAATAACATTGTGGGAAGTTTTAAAACGCACGTCAATTGTTGACAAAATGTATCGAAACGCAAAACTGTGTGACGTTACGTTGCCATTTATTGAATTGTTCCCACTTCCGGTCAAGCATGATTCTCGTACATCCTTAAAATGTTTCGTCACTACGATAAATTGAAGCTTGTAAAACTAACCCCTTCCACAGTATAAACTGGATTCTCATCAGAGGTATATAATAACAGTGTGAAATGAAAGGAAGCACTTCCTTTTTCTTGCCTTTGTCTTCTTTTAAATGGAATTGTGCCTCTTTTGCTTTTTCAGTGACTAAAACGTTGTGAAATCAACCCATTTTTTTCAAAGTGAATTGTTGACCTGAATTTAGGGCACACGTGCTTATAGTGTTTAGGTTTTGTAACACATATATATCTTTTCATGTTTTCAACAAACAGTGTCAGTACGACTTGAACATGTACACCCGTCTTTTTGGGTCATTAGTAAGGTCATCAAACGCAAAGGTTTTACACTGTACTCAAGTTTACTTGTCTTGTTAACAGTGATGATCAAACTCAAGTCTGCCATTCTCATTTCAGTGCAACTGTTGTGCAGACCTACAATGTTTTTTGGTTGAACGTGAATTCTCCACAAATAACAGCGGTTACCGTTCCTCCAACTCTTCCACCACAACCGCCAACGACCATGGTGGTCACAGTGCCGTCAACAAGAAAGCCACCCGTCACTCTGCCGCCTGAGACCACCACATCGGCGGCAATGACAGAAGAAATCACCACTCAGGCGCCTACCATAGTAACGACAGATCTAACACAGATACAAACGGTATTTATCAATGGGATTTACATACAGGGATGTTTTTTTAATGTCACGTGTGATACTCTTTGGAACATTGCATTATAACCTACCTAACGTAATCAACACGTTGTAGTTAAATGGTAGGATGAAGTTAATATCATTTTTTATTTTAATTACTTTGATAAATTAATATTTAAGATGTACTCATGTTTAAGATGATATAAATTGTCTTTTTAAAAAAACTATTACGCTACATTAAAATTTTGTCACATTTGTAAACATTGTTGTTACATTTAAAAAAATTCTTTCTGGAACAGTACAACCCATAAATTTCCTTAATTTGTAAGTAAATGAAAGCGTAGTATTTTCTCCAACTAGTTCTAGTCTTTCCTTGTCAATAAAGTTAATTTGTTATTGAAGTTTATCATGAGCTTTAAGATACGGAAATGAACGTGTCAATTAAACATATTGTCCGTTGATTTAGCAAACGACACCAGCATCGGGAAGAGTGACAATGGATGATACATGCGGTACCAGCAAGGGCTGTTTCGTGAGCTGTGAGGGGGACAGCTGTGAATATGTTGTCACTTGGAAACATGGACCAGAGTATGTCGACTTCGAAGTATCATCGAAGATCGAGATTGATGGTGTCCACTGGATAGCGATCGCTTTCTCTAATGATGTTAAAATGGTAAGCCCGCTATTAGGGTCCATGAGGAAAGGATGTTTTAAAATGATGACTTTTTGTCACCACTGAATTATTGTTTAAAACAGGCCGAAGATCAACTTTCATGATGATTTATAAATCATTATTAGCTTGGTTGGTGCATCCCATGAGGATGCATGAATCTCACACGGCCAAAATTTCTGAAATAAATCTTCGACTCATAGGGCAGGAAGTATTTACTTTTTTGAAATGATGAGTATTTTTTGAACCGATAGTTGTTTCCAGCAATATTGATTTCTCTTGAAATAGACTGATACTGGCGCAATAAGCAGTAATGACATCGAAATTCTAATTTTCAATTTGACTTAACAGTTGCAAATCTCCATAGCAACCTAAAATGTATATTACCTTCTGATTGTTCAAAATATCTATATTTAATGAAATTTGATCACTGCAAAAGTAAAACTGTATAACAGTGCAGAACCAATCTCGATGTCAACGAGGCGACTTATAGTCTGTCAATTTGTTGAAATGTTTACATTTTCCAACTTCAATGAAATTCAGGTTCCGTGTTTTTTTTTTGCAAATCTGAATACTTCACTGATATTGTTTTCAGATTGAAAAAAAATCAAGGTCGTGCGCTTGACTCGGATTAATAAAACAATTGATAAAACCTGATTAAAATGATATTCGTTACGTCGGTATAGTATGATACAACGAACAAGGAAGTGGTATGATGGTGTAGATGCCTGAGCCAACCTGTACTTGCAATGTGCTGGTGTTTCAAAACTATTAGCACTTGCCTGTGCTGGTAGGTAAGGCATTAATTTTCAGCATATAATTATATGTGAAACAATGATGATGGTGTAGATGCCTGAGATGTGAAACCTGAATGATGATGGTGTAGATGCCTGAGCCAACCTGTACTTGCAATGTGCTGGTGTTTCAAAACTATTAGCACTTGCCTGTGCTGGTAGGTAAGGCATTAATTTTCAGCAATATATGTTATATGTGAAATAGAATGATGATGGTGTAGATGCCTGAGCCAACCTGTACTTGCAATGTGCATCAAAGATGTGAAATGGAATGATGATGGTGTAGATGCCTGAGCCAACCTGTACTTGCAATGTGCTGGTGTTTCAAAACTATTAGCACTTGCCTGTGCTGGTAGGTAAGGCATTAATTTTCAACAATACATCAAAGATGTGAAATGGAATGATGATGGTGTAGATGCCTGAGCCAACCTGTACTTGCAATGTGCTGGTGTATTAAAACTATTAGCACTTGCCTGTGCTGGTAGGTAAGGCATTAATTTTCAGCAATATATGTTATATGTGAAATAGAATGATGATGGTGTAGATGCCTGAGCCAACCTGTACTTGCAATGTGCTGGTGTTTCAAAACTATTAGCACTTGCCTGTGCTGGTAGGTAAGGCATTAATTTTCAGCAATATATGTTATATGTGAAATAGAATGATGATGGTGTAGATGCCTGAGCCAACCTGTACTTGCAATGTGCTGGTGTTTCAAAACTATTAGCACTTGCCTGTGCTGGTAGGTAAGGCATTAATTTTCAGCAATATATGTTATATGTGAAATAAAATGATGATGGTGTAGATGCCTGAGCCAACCTGTACTTGCAATGTGCTGGTGTTTCAAAACTATTAGCACTTGCCTGTGCTGGTAGGTAAGGCATTAATTTTCAGCAGATGTCATGACCTGTAAATGCCATACTTGACTAACGTATTATCGAGTGATTTATAATCTTAACGAGGTGGAGATTTTGTTAATCAGAAGTATGCTTGATAATATCAACAGGAACATTTTATGAGGTAATAATACACACAGTAAAACCACTTATGCATTTCTCTTGCCTAACTTTTGCACTTTGAGATCTCCAAAAGTGGACAAAGCTGGTTGACTTGAGTCCTCAAGGTTTGCCAAAATCTGCATGTCTCGTTTAAATGCATTCGAATATCGAAGCAGTGTATTGGAAAAGTATGAATTTTGAGAAAATCTTTACTATTTCTTTCTCTTTTTATTATTTTTCATTTTACCGACTGGGACCTTGCTCAGTCTTGGGTTATAGCAATTTAAGCCGTTAGCGTCACTGACGAAACGTAGAAGAACTGCTGTATGATACAGAATACAGCCTAACCCATAATTTAACTCTAGTCTAATTCTGAAGGGAGAGTGCCAATTGGTACCATTCTGTTGACACAATATTGTTTTGAAGAATGACAAGTTAATGTCACATCCATATTACCTGCTATTTATAGAATTACGTTATTTTGCTGGCTCACTGAAAATTTTAGAGTTAAAATGGGAGATGTGGAAAAATATGGAGCGAAAGGAAGAAGTACATATGATTTTTTAATCTGCCAAATAATCATCAAGTCTTGAGAAGTTAGTTGAATATAGTGATTATTGTTAAAAAGGTTAGTGATTTGAGAAATATTTCATGTTATATATTGTTTTTTTTGGTGTGGTAAAGATTATTTGTCTATGTCCTATTTCACAGTTTTTGGTATTAGATTTTAAGACCTGTACCTATTTAGTGAAAACCAACGCACGCACACAACAACTATCAAATCAATAATCTGTTGTAATGATTTTATTGTAAATATTTCGTTTTACATCCTCCCAAATTGACAAAACATTTTTTTTCTATGAGCCTACACAAACTTTGAAACTGTGAATACCATGTTATGTACAGTTGACTTTAAAACATCTTTCTGCAAAAAACAAGCTTATCATATATGACCACAGAATGACCCAAATTGATGAAATGTACTATTCATTTGAGTGTCTACTGTACTTTTTACTTGAGGTTTGACACATGAGGACAAAAATACTGTTTTACCTTGTCCATTATAAATCTACCCAACAGTTTGAATATAAACAAACAAACGATTCCAGGGACTGCCATATTTATAATTTTTATAAATATTTATATAATCACATGACCCAGTATATAAAGAAGGAAAAATACAAAGATTTTTTTTATTTCATGAATTATCTTCATTTAATAAATAATTTAGAAAGACAATAGTTGGAACTTATTGCCTTTATTAAAAGTATTTCTTCCTTTGTTTAGCGATTTTGATGATAATCGCTTGGATCCTGTGTACTGGGATAGGAATTGTAGCCGCTCGCTATTACAAACCAGTGTGGACCGCCACCAACGTGATGGGACAGAGAATATGGTTTCAGGTAAGACTACTGTCAGAGGATGCCAGAAATACGATAAAATAATGCAGCTGATAGCATGGTATTTTCAAACTTTAACTTCTGAACAATCAGTTGTATGACTATGTTCAAACCTAATAAACTTCTGTATGATGATGTTCTGTCCCAACGTCCCAACAAACCGCTGTGTGATGATGTTCTGTCCCAACAAACATCTATATGATGAAGATTGAGTCCCAGCAAACATCTGTATGATGATGTTTTGTCCCAACAAACCGCTGTGTGATGATGTTCTGTCCCAACAAACATCTATATGATGATGTTTTGTCCCAACAAACATCTATATGATGATGTTTTGTCCCAACAAACCGCTGTGTGATGATGTTCTGTCCCAACAAACAGCTGTGTGATGAAGATTGAGTCCCAGCAAACATCTGTATGATGATGTTTTGTCCCAACAAACAGCTGTGTGATGATGTTCTGTCCCAACAAACAGCTGTGTGATGATGTTCTGTCCCAACAAACAGCTGTGTGATGAAGATTGAGTCCCAGCAAACATCTGTATGATGATGTTTTGTCCCAACAAACCGCTGTGTGATGACTAACAGCTGTCTGGCATTGATTGGCATTTACTAGCATTGTATTTGCTTAATTACAATTAAAATTTCCTAACTTCATATTTTGATTTTTTAACCACTTTAATGTTTTTTGACATCAATGAATAGTTTTAAGTACACGTCGTTGATTCATGTTTGTTGTTTTTTCAAGACATGCATTGCATTTTGTAACATTGAACATCAGTAAATTTATAACTAGTCTTAGCAGTCATTGAGCTCTGTATTTTGGGTTTCAGATTCACAGAACATGCATGGTGACCGCCTTGGTGTTAACACTCATCGGCTTTGTAATTATTTTCGTTGAGGCGGGAGGATATAGTCAAGTGAGCTATGTTTCTTTTATCCGGCACTTTATAAGTATATGTTGGAAACCATTAAGTATATCCCTTATGTAGCTTCACGAAACAGATTACTTTAATACGAAAGTGATTCATTTATGTAATTTTTGCGCATATTTACACGCAGGCTGAAGTTTGATTTTCGTGTGTGTTTTTTTCGTGGGTTCTCTTTATTTTACATGAATCAACATTGAGTGTAAGTGTATTTCGCGAGCAACGTCAAGAAATCAAATTCACATGATCTGATAGTTTGGAACCTACAATAGTGTAACATTGACATCACACTTCATTATCTCAGTAACCAGAAGGGTCAAGTTACATTATCCTGTGGGGCTTCGGGCTTGGTCTTCCAATGTTTACTTTTGCGGAAAGAAATGATTTTGACCTCAATTCAATGTCACAGGGGTAACATTAAATCCATATATTCAGATTTATCACAATCCATAGACCCTTGATATTAGGTTCCTACGATAAAGCCAGATAAAGTTAAAAAAAATAACAAGAAACAACCCCCCCCCAAAAAAAAAGAAAGAAAAGATAAAAAAAAAAAAAAAAAGAAAAAAACCGAACAAAAAACTAACAAAGTAACAAAAGATTTGACTGGAAGAGCGCGAAATCCAATAACCTTGACCAATATTATAGGTCACATGGGTCCTTAGAATAGTGATGGTTGGTTCCAAGGATGAAGCTCAAAAAAAAAAAAGGTAAAAAATACCTTGACTTATGTTTAAAAGCAGTTTATTAAAAACGTCCAAACAGTACTAATTCATCAGAAGGAATAGAAACATGATATTTGGCTGCTAGGTTTCTTGGAGGAATGTCTATGGTGTGAAATGATCATGTGTGTTTGTGATAGAATACCTGGTAAGCGGTGCAGGTTCATCAAGGCGCTTGTTTTAATATTAATGAGCAGCATGCTGAAAAAGACTTTCTATAACCTTGTTGTATCGATAGAAATTGGAAAGACTGTATATAACGAAAGGTTTTTACTTACATTTAAACATTTCTTTTGTAGATTCCAAAAATAGAAGGAAAAGAATATTTACAAGCTCATCCCCCACTGGGAATAATAGTCACGATTCTAGCTATCATAAATGTGAGTATACTGTTATTTATATCTGACCTCGTGTTGATATGAAATCAATAAAAGTCCCATACTGATAGCAATTTCTATTTTATACTTTGAGTTCAATATCTTCATTCTTTGTCCTTTGTCCGATATCAAAGAAAAAAATGTTTATCTGGGCCTATTTTATATATTACGGGAACTTAATATTTGGGATAAGGGTTCACCTTTGTGAGACGGTGTGTCTCGTCTCAAGAGGAGGTCACCCTGCCGGGCCAAATGAAACAGCATAGAATGAATGGTGTCACCAGATACAAATATATTGTAAAACGGCACTGCTAGTATATCTACAATAGTTTAACCCACAATTTATCATCTATGCACGCTTGTCTTATAATTTAAGTTTGTTTGTTTAAATAATAAGTCAAACATCTCTTTCTGTTTCAAAATTGTTATCCATCAATCACACCATTATATTAAGTATGACTGTGTCATTTGTTTGCAAATGGCAAATGGTTTCTAGTCTAAAGATAACTTTTTATCAAACCATTTATTTACACTACATTGAAACATGTGTATTTCTATAATAACAATTTCTTTTCAGCCTATCATGTCAATATTCAGACCAGGTCCAAAAGATGAAAAACGGCCAATCTTTAACTGGGCTCACTGGTCCGTGGGTATGCTCGCCCATATCCTATCTAGTAAGTGTTATTATCATTGATATTACCGAGAGTCCCACCCATATCCTATCTAGTAAGTGTTAATATCATTGATATTACCGAGAGTCCCGCCCATATCCTATCTAGTAAGTGTTAATATCATTGATATTACCGAGAGTCCCGCCCATATCCTATCTAGTACCACCCATATCCTATCTAGTCCCACCCATATCCTATCTAGTAATTGTTAATATCATTGATATTACCGAGAGTCCCGCCCATATCCTATCTAGTAAGTGTTAATATCATTGATATTACCGAGAGTCCCGCCCATATCCTATCTAGTCCCACCCATATCCTATCTAGTCCCGCCCATATCCTATCTAGTAAGTGTTAATATCATTGATATTACCGAGAGTCCCGCCCATATCCTATCTAGTACCACCCATATCCTATCTAGTCCCACCCATATCCTATCTAGTAATTGTTAATATCATTGATATTACCGAGAGTCCCGCCCATATCCTATCTAGTAAGTGTTATTATCATTGATATTACCGAGAGTCCCCCCCATATCCTATCTAGTAAGTGTTAATATCATTGATATTACCGAGAGTCCCACCCATATCCTATCTAGTAAGTGTTAATATCATTGATATTACCGAGAGTCCCGCCCATATCCTATCTAGTAAGTGTTAATATCATTGATATTACCGAGAGTCCCGCCCATATCCTATCTAGTCCCACCCATATCCTATCTAGTAAGTGTTAATATCATTGATATTACCGAGAGTCCCACCCATATCCTATCTAGTAAGTGTTAATATCATTGATATTACCGAGAGTCACGCCCATATCCTATCTAGTCCCACCCATATCCTATTTAGTAAGTGTTTATATCATTGATATTACCGAGAGTCCCACCCATATCCTATTTAGTAAGTGTTAATATCATTGATATTACCGAGAGTCCCCCCCATATCCTATCTAGTAAGTGTTAATATCATTGATATTACCGAGAGTCCCGCCCATATCCTATCTAGTCCCACCCATATCCTATCTAGTAAGTGTTAATATCATTGATATTACCGAGAGTCCCACCCATATCCTATCTAGTCCCACCCATATCCTATCTAGTAAGTGTTAATATCATTGATATTACCGAGAGTCCCACCCATATCCTATCTAGTCCCACCCATATCCTATCTAGTAAGTGTTAATATCATTGATATTACCGAGAGTCCCACCCATATCCTATCTAGTCCCACCCATATCCTATCTAGTAAGTGTTAATATCATTGATATTACCGAGAGTCCCACCCATATCCTATTTAGTAAGTGTTAATATCATTGATATTACCGAGAGTCCCACCCATATCCTATTTAGTAAGTGTTAATATCATTGATATTACCGAGAGTCCCACCCATATCCTATTTAGTAAGTGTTAATATCATTGATATTACCGAGAGTCCCGCCCATATCCTATCTAGTAAGTGTTAAGTAATATCGATTATTGTAAGAGTAAAAAGTACGCAGATAATTATCTTTTTTTTTCGACTACCGGTAAGAGATTTCAATCTCATTTTCATTCTCTTTGTTAAAACATGTGCTTCTATTGTTTCGATACGGTCATGATACTGCCGAACTATTGTTAGAGAAGAGCTGCAGTATTAAAAACGTTAATTAGTGGGACCATCGTTATATTGAATTTACCTTACAGTTATAGCGATATGTTTTGGGATGGAGATGAAGAAGTCGACAGCTCCATCGTATTCCGTGTGGGTCGTAGTCGGATACGTGATATATCACGTGATTATGGAGATTACACTGAAGTCGTTTGATCTCTACCTGAACAGATCAGACCCTGGTAAGTTCACTGATGATTCCCAGTCTTCATCATTTGTTTTAACTGGAAAATATCCTGAAACAATCCCACCACTGACATACTGTTTTTGATAAATGATCTTGCTGCATGTCATGGTTAATATGTGTTCGGACTAGTGATATTGAATGTCATCGTTTTCGCTTGCCCCCTCCACCGTTTGATCAACGGAAAGACAATATAACATAACCTGGTCTGATTTTGTCTTCTTTAAATTGATTTATTGACAAATTTGTAAACACTAGGTCGTATTGATGCTCTGGGAATGACAAACACTGGAGTTTCAGCACAGAACGGAAACCACTTCAAAGCGCCTCCTGCGTACACTGAAAGGGATACAGTTAAACCCCCTAAGGTATGTATATATAAAGAGAGAGAGGGGGGGAGAGAGAGAGTGGTGGGGAAAGAGGGGAAAGAGAGAGAGAGAGAGGTGGTGTGTGTATTGTGTGAGGGAGGGTGTGTGGGGGAGTGTATGTAGTGTGTGTGTGTGCGTGTGGGTGTGGGTGTGTAGGTGGTGGTGGTGGTGTGTGTGGGTGTTATGTGTGTGGTTAGTGTGTGTGTATGTGTGTGGTGGTGGTGGCGTGTGTGTGTGTGTAGTGAGTGTGTGGGGGGTGGGTGGGTGTGGATTTGTAAGTTGTGTGTGTGTGTAGGTGTGTGTGGTGTGGTGATGATGGTGGTGGTGGTGTGTGTGTGTGTGTGTGTGTGTGTGTGTAGGTGTATGGTGATGGTGGTGGTGTGTTTGTGTGCGTGTGTGTGTGTGTGTGTGTGTGTGTGTGTGTGTGTGTGAGTGTGTAGGTGTGGTGGTGGTGGTGGTGTATGTGTGTGTGTTATTACCTATTGTTATATATATAAATAATATACACTGCTTATAAATCTTTTTTATAATATCTTTTCAGGACAGCACAGTGAAAAAAATACTTCTGATTTTCCACATGGCCATTGCGACAGCTTTTACCGTCACTTTGGTCCTCCTGGTTGCTCTCTACGACTGATGAGAAACCTTTACTTATCTAAGTGTCAAAATTCAATAAGAAAGGAACGAATGAAAGAACCAGGATATGTATTGTAGACAATAGTGTAGTTACTGCAGCATTATGCTTACATTTTTAAACTTAAATCTGGGGCTAGACCAGCTCCCATTAAATCTGGGGCTAAGACAGCTCCTATTAAATCTGGGTCGATCTAGACCAGCTCCCATTAAATCTGGGGCTAGGACAGCTCCAATTAAATCTGTGGCTAAGACAGCTCCCATTAAATCTGGGGCGATCTAGACCAACTTTCATGAAATCTGGGGCTAGATCTAATCCATTAAATCTGGGGCTAGACCAGCTCCTATTAAATCTGGGGCTAGGACAGCTCCTATTAAATCTGGGGCTAGACCAGCTCCCATTAAATCTGGGGCTAGGACAGCTCCCATTAAATCTGGGGCTAGACCAGCTCCCATTAAATCTGGGGCTAAGACAGCTCCTATTAAATCTGGGTCGATCTAGACCAGCTCCCATTAAATCTGGGGCTAGACCAGCTCCCATTAAATCTGGGGCTAGGACAGCTCCCATTAAATCTGGGGCTAGGACAGCTCCCATTAAATCTGGGGCTAGATCTAATCCATTAAATCTGGAGTTAGGGCAGCTCCCATCAAATGTGGGGTTAGACCAGTCCAGTTAAATCTGGGACTAAACTAAATCCAATAAATCTGGGGCTAGACCAGCTCCTATTAAATGTTACCTTAAGATGTACAAAACCAGTGAACCACCGTATTTACCAAGTCATAGCAATGCATGTGAAGTTAAATATGCAGAAAGGAAGCTCATTTTGCCATTAAATCTGGAGTTAGGGCAGTCTTTTTATACAATTTATAATGATAATACCATGTAAGTGCTTTTGTTTTTAAGATTTAACTATTTTTCATTTTGTGATCTGCAAACATTTGAAATGACATAACATTCCAGTTTCGAAAAGGCTAGACCAGCTCCTATTAAATGTTACCTTAAGATGTACAAAACCAGTGAACCACCGTATTTACCAAGTCATAGCAATGCATGTGAAGTTAAATATGCAGAAAGGAAGCTCATTTTGCCATACTGATACAAGGCTGGGCCGGTCATCGTCTTTTTATACAATTTATAATGATAATACCATGTAAGTGCTTTTGTTTTTAAGATTTAACTATTTTTCATTTTGTGATCTGCAAACATTTGAAATGACATGAACATTCCAGTTTCGAAAAGGTGTTTGGCATATTCTCCAAATATTTCACTTACCTCACATATCCCCTTCCTTGACATATCCGCTTCACTCCACATACCCCCCTTACTTCAGATACCCCCCTTACTTCACATACCCCCCTTACTTCAGGTATCCCTCTTACTTCACATACCCTCCTTACTTCAGATATCCCCCTTACTTCACATACCCCCCTTACTTCAGATATCCCCCTTACTTCACATACCCCCCTTACTTCAGATATCCCCCTTACTTCACATACCCCCTTACTTCAGATACCCCCTTATTTCACATACCCCCCTTACTTCAGATATCCCCCTTACTTCACATACCCCCCTTACTTCAGTCATCTCCCTTATTTGACATATTTCCCTTCACATATCCCCTTACTTCTCATATTTTTCTAACTTGAAATACCCCTCTTACTCCACATATTTCCTTATTTGACATACCCACCCCCTTATTTGACATACCCCTCCCCCCTCTTATTTGACATGCCTCCCTCACTTCAAATATTCTTCTGACTTGACATACCCTCCTTACGTCACATACCCCCTCACTTCTAATATCACTTTGCTTGATATATCCCCCTTATTTAACATATCCCCCTTATTTAACATACCCCCCTTATTTTACATATCCCCCTTATTTGTTATATCCCCCTTATTTGACATATCCCCCTTATTTAACATATCCCTCTTATTTGACATACCCCCCTTATTTGACATACCCCTCTTATTTGACATACCCCCCTTATTTGACATATCCCCCTTATTTAACATATCCCCCTTATTTGACATACCCCCTTATTTAACATATCCCTCTTATTTGACATACCCCCTTATTTAACATATCCCCCTTATTTAACATATCCCCCTTATTTGACATACCCCCTTATTTAACATATCCCTCTTATTTGACATACCCCCTTATTTAACATATCCCCTTTATTTGAAATATTTCCCTCACTCCTCATATCCTTCTAATTTCACATATCCCCCTAATTTGACATATCCCCCTAATTTGACATATCCTGCTTTTATGATTTCTCTCATGCAACCTTTCAAACACACATCACCAGAACAAAACTTAAAAATGTTTGACCGTCAGACCAAATATTTTTTACGAGTGAATAAGTTATTTTCGAGGTTAGTTGCATCTAACCAACACAGTATGTTTGGTATGTATTTAGATTTTTTGTTATTGTAAAATGATTTATGTAACGCTTGTGATTGTTGTGATATTTTCTATAAGCCAAATCAGTTAATACAGATGTAACTCTGGATATATACAAATGTTCACTTAATAAATTATTCAAAGATCAATGCTATTGTATACAGTTAAGTCTCAGTATTTGTTCTCTTAATGCTCATATTTAACGTATTTGTTAATTGAATGCTACTGTTATAACTATTGGTGTATATTTGGGCTTGTAATTGTTTGTTAATTATGGCGGAAGATATGTTTTAATTGCTACATGTCTCCATTGATACAAATACACATTAATAGAGAGCTTTACTAAGCGTGTTAATTTGTAGTCAGAGATGTGGTGCATATCAAAAATTGTCTTCAAAAAGGAAATTTATTCGCACTCATTTGAAACTTATTCCACGATTACTTACTAAAAAGAATAGCAAGGATATTTATATGACACAAAACTTCGAGGGACAAATGGTTTTATGTTTGTAGGAAAAGCTAATGTTATGTTGGTGCGATAGTAATGCATATATCAGCCATGATTTGCTTAAACATAGCACTAGGTCTTTCGTAGAAAACTTAAGTTTGGTGATAGACCTATAAAAACTGTTGTGTTTGTCAGTAATAAATACTTAGTTGTAAATCTTGTTTTAGTGTTGTCAGTAATATATACATTATTTTACATGTTGTTTACATGTTGTCAGTAATATATATACATTGTTGTACATGTTGTTTACATGTTGTCAGTAATATATACATTGTTGTACATGTTGTTTACATGTTGTCAGTAATATATACATTGTTGTACATGTTGTTTACATGTTGTCAGTAATATATACATTATTGTACATGTTGTTTACATGTTGTCAGTAATATATATACATTGTTGTACATGTTGTTTACATGTTGTCAGTAATATATACATTATTGTACATGTTGTTTACATGTTGTCAGTAATATATACATTATTGTACATGTTGTTTACATGTTGTCAGTAATATATACATTATTGTACATGTTGTTTACGTGTTGTCAGTAATATATACATTATTGTACATGTTGTTTACGTGTTGTCAGTAACATATATACATTATTGTACATGTTGTTTACATGTTGTCAGTAACATATACATTATTGTACATCATCTTGTTTACGTGTTGTCATTAATATATAGATTAGTGTAAATATTGTTTACGTGTTGTCAGTAATAAATTAGATTGATTAAAACAACACAATATATCAATGCCTTTTTTTTCTTTGCTGAAACCTGAGATTGATTTCCCAATATTTTGGTGAATATCATGACGTAATGGTGCTACAGTTACAACAAACACTATGACGTAAACATGTGAGAGATTTTTTTACCTGCGACTTTCGCTGCCATTGTCGAAATAAACCTGTCATATAAACTGTTGCAGTGTTTTAGCACGTGCATTAATTCGGCAGATTTATTTTATAATTTATTGAAAAGAAACGATTTTGTTTGTTGAAACAAACAGGATTGTTTACGAAAATTAAAAAAACTGCGTTTACTATCCAATTAAATGAGGAGCTGTATTTGCGCACAGAGCAATTATTTTGACGTGCACCATTCAGCGCAATGTCAACATCAGATTACATTGGTCTAGCAAATTGTTGAAGTTTCGGTGGTCTGAATTCTCAATTAGAGAAACAGGATAAATAGAATAATAAGTGCTTTAAAAGGTAAGCTGAAACTGAGGATAGAAAGACAAAGTGACTCGCCAAAGACTCGTTCCTTTTCTGTTCTGTCACCGTTGCCAAAATGCATTTGATGTTTTCAGACACTGATATATATGTGAAATTTAAACCTTATATATACTAACAGTCGATCTATTGAAAATAAACTGTTCATAAGCATTGTAGTTGAATTCTGGTCTTAAGTTGTACCAATATTTCAGGTCATTTCTTTCTTCCTTTATCGTTTGTTTGGTTTTCCCCTTTTCAGCTGAGAGGTCTTAATATGTTGGTTTGGATGATCAATACTCCTGTTTTCAAGCTATTTCAGAAATATTCTTTTCACAATTAGCATTGCTGATGGGTCTCTCATGAAACATCCCGAATGAAATTAGGCATTATTCCTTAGTTTATGTCTCAATTATTTTGAAACTTGAAACATTTCTTAATTAATGTTCGTTTGATAGAATAAGATGTAAACTTACCATGAATTTCTAAATAAGGCAGACTTAAACTCCCTTGATCCCTTTATTGAGCGTTGTTTTAATTCTCACATCGTGTCTTTCCAATAAGTTCATTGATAAATATTCCCGTGCCTTTCTGCAAAAGTCAACGAAATGAATTATTATACATGATACTGCTCTTACGCGATTGAAAAAAGATGATTTTTGACTCATTTCCATGCCATTTCAGAAAACGTTAAGTAACAATAGACCTACAGAAAAAATGTAAAATTGTTGACATACATGTTTTTGAAATGGCAGTCCCCATGACTGCCTAATACACATGCCTATACTTTCATGTGTTACAACTGACGACAACACATTGATATACGGCGACTACGACTTCCGGACACACTGTACATAGTGGATAGCAC